GGATGTGTCAGCAAAGCCGGCGCGTTTCAGTTTATCATACAGAATTCCGTGATCGACGGTGTCAAAAGCTTTCGTTAAATCAATTGAAACTACCCCTGTGAAAAGTCCTCTGTCCATGTTTTCCAGAATTGAGTCAGTGAAGTCGACGAGGGCAATCTCAGTCGAGCTTTTGGGCCTAAAACCAAACTGAAATGGCGACAAAAGTTTATTATCCTGTAGATAGCTATACATTTGTAAATGGGCCGCTTTCTCTAGAATTTTACTAACAATCGGGAGAACTGTTATTGGCCGGTAGTTATTTGGATCAGTTCTTTTCCCAGACTTAAACAGAGCAGTAACCTTCCCGCATTTCCAAATGTCAGGGTATATAGAAGAAGACAGTGAACGATTAAATAATTTGGTCAGTACAGGAGTTAGAACATTGGCAGAATCTTTCAACAAACGAGCACTAACACGATCAAGACCAATAACTTTATTGGTTTTCAACTCATGGAGATTTTTGTTAACAAATTGTTCATCAATATCCCCAAAGGAAAACTCACAAGATGTTGATGCCCAAATATCACTGACAGAATTTGGCGTAATGACCTGACGAATGAATCCGAAACTAGACTTGATTAATGTCGCTAATTTCATTCCAATAGACGAAAAGTGCAAGTTTAAACCTTCAACAATTGATTTAACGTCAGTTTGTGACGTGCCATCAATTTCAATAGAAGTTATAGGAGCAGATGATTTCCTCGATGTAATTTCATTTAATGTTTTCCAGAGTACACTAGAGTTTCCTTTGTTTTTGTTTATTAGGTCTAGATAATACTCAGATTTACATTTCTTTATAAGTTTATTCACAGATATCTTTGCTTGCTTATAGAGCTTCCAGTGATATTCAGAATTTGATTTTACAGCCTTTCGACGATGATAATCGCGATCCCGCATAGCAGTACTTAAATTACTCGTGATCCACGGTGCATGTCTTCCTTTCATTCGCAGTTTTCTAATTGGAGCGTGTCTATTAGCCACGTCAAAGAATAGTTGGTCCCATACCTTAACGGCATCATTAACATTTTCTTGATTATCAACAACATTCCAATCTATATTCTTAAGATCGTTCACAAAAGCACTTTGGGAATAGTTCTTATATGATCTGTATTCTATTGTTCGTGGCGGAAGCTTAGGGACTCCAGCTTTTAGTATGCAATAGATAAGGGAATGGTCACTTAATGATGGATGTAACACCCCAGAATCGATTATACGATGATAATTGTTAATAAACAATAGGTCAATTGCAGTGGCAGATTTTTCAGTAATTCTTGTAGGAGTTTTAATAAGTTGTTCCAAGTAATGCAAATTTCCAAAGCGAACAAGTTGTTGTCGTAAAGAGTCTTTCTTTGCCGCTAGAACATTAACATTGAAATCGCCCAAAATTATAATATCGGCTTCCGAGGGAACAGTACATAATACGTTACTTAAACTTTCAATAAAATGTTCAAGTTTCTTGTCAGGAGCCTTATATATAGTAAATATGAAAAGTTTCCTAGCTTTTACTCGATTGACTTCAATAACACAGGATTCAATATTCGGTGCTTGCAAGTCAGAGCGCACACAGTAAGGCAAGCCATCACGAATATAGGCTAAAGTACCTCCCCCAATACGAATATCTCTGTCATTCCTCGATAAAGTATATCCAGGGATATAAATTTCATTATCAGATACATTAGCTTTCAGCCACGTTTCGGACAGAGTTAACACATCAAAAGGGTTTTCCTTTAAGAAGATACGTAATGAGTCGATCTTACCGATCAAACTTTGAACATTGAGGTGAGCGATCTTTAGTCCACGAAATCGAGGGAAATCGTTAGATACTGGTCCAGGATTTACTGAGATATCATTCGAAGTAGAAATTAAAACCGCGGCCAGGAAAGCTTTCTGTAAAAGGTAGCAGCTAGACATCATAAGCTTAGCATTCGTTAGTGGGACACGTAATGATTTGCCGGTTGATCGAAGAGGTTGAGATGTTGTTGTTGGAATTGCCGGCTTCGAAACAACAGCTGCAGCGTACAGAACATCACAATCGACATATCGAGAGTGCCAAAGTGATTCTCCAGACTTGTTTAGATTTGATATTAGTAGATAGAAAATCAATACAGCAACCAACTGAGACAGCGAACACAGTTGACGACCACACGACATCATAAAAGAGCTTCTTTTTATTTTGGTTTCAGTTGTGGTGAGTATTAGTTTTACTCTGGGAAGGTTAAATTCAGACAACAAGATTGCTTGATACCTTATTGATAAGGTCGCCAACAATCTATATATGTATATGAACAGGTTTTGTGGTTGGCTGATTCTAACAAGACAAAATGCTAATACAGCTAAAGAATACATTTTATATTTAACGAGGATCAAACACTGTTCAAACACTCGAATTTTAAATATGATAAAATACTGCTACGCGTGTTTTAAATAGCACATATAAAACCATAGGTGATTTAAGTACAGTTTAATAAACGAGCACGAGTGTTTTATTAGCAGGGCCGCGGAGAGCTTGGCGGGGGCCCGGGGCAGATTTTCGGAAAAAAAAATTTTCGGAGAAGAATAACCTCCCCCCCCCCCCCCAATCGACAACTTTTTAGGGAAAAAAATTTTCCGGACGAGTACGTTGTAATTCATACCAAATTTCGGTACTTTGCCCAAAAAAATCAAATATGTTGCCCTTTGTGCGGCAATATTTCACCCCAAAAAATGTCTGGGGCCCAACAAAAAATTTCTAGGGGCCCCCAGGGTCAACCCCCCCCCTCTCGGCGGTCCTGTTTATTAGGTTTAAAGCCACGAGTGCGCAGTGCGAGTGGCTTTAGACCTAATAAAACACGACCTGCGAGTTTATTAAACGACTTCAAACACAACAACAAATTCAATAGATATACTGCGTTATTAGTATATTCTTTATATAAAGGACGCAACTACAATAGATACTGCCTTATTAGTATTCTTTATATAAAGAATACTGGTTAGGAGTGTGTTATGTAGGTTTAAAGCCACTACACATGACATATTATGGTTGACATGATTTGCCAATAAGCTTATGAATTATTAATGAGTGTTTGAAGTAGTAAACAGGGTGTATAAAAAAAAACAGCACAGATTTGAAATTGCTCTTAAATTCGCAAAACAGCTATTAGTATCCAGTTTTGATGTATATAGCTTCTTTGGGTACTTATAATGTGGAAAAATGGAAAAAATTTATCGAACTCAAACTTTGCAAACCAGGGGGGGGGCGGTGTCTTTTCCAACAAACTAAAAATGGCTTGCGCACGAAATCTAAAAGCTTTATCATATTTTGAGTTGATAGATGGAACATTTGTTGGGTTTTTAATTACTGTACAAAATTTCAGACAATTTGCTTTAGTTTAAGGCCTTTAACTATTCATTTTTCTCTAAAAAATTAACCTTTCGCATGCTTAATTAATGCCTTTACCTAATTTGCATATTGCTGACATTGCAAATTAGGCAAAGGCATTGATTAGCATGCAAATGGTGATTTTTTAAGAAAAAATGTAAGTTTGCGTGAATGGTTAAAGGGCGTAAATTGTCTGAAATTTTGTACAGTAATTAAACACCCAACAAACTTTCCATCTGTTAACTTAAAATATGATTAAAGCTTTTAAATTTCGTGCGCAAGCCATTTTTAGTTTGTTGGAAAAGACACACACCCCTGGTTCACAAAATTTGAGTTCGAAAAATTTTTTCCATTTTTCTACATTATAAGTACCCAAAGAAGCTATATACATAAAAAAAAACTGTATACTAATAGCTGTTTTGCGAATTTAAGAGTAAATTTCAAATCTGTGCAGTTTTTTTTTATACACCCTGTATATTGCATTAGTTATATATAGTGTATTAATTGTATCGAGCGTTTGCACTCATTCCCCAGGGACCAACTCAGCAAAAGCCATGGCGGCCATGTTGGTGTTCCAGACAAAATAGTCTAGTTAAAATTCTTTTGAATTGGAACACCAACATGGCGGCTGTGACGTCATATGCAAACGCTCTATATACATGTAGTATCTAGGTAAAATTTATATGAATAAAGCTTTTTTTATTATTCTTATTATTATTAATACCAATTCTCACTTCTTTTTCTAGAATTACGCGCAGTCATTTGAAATGGACGAGAGCTAGAAGCAACACTTTTCTATAATCAAAAAGCGACATAATCCTGGATTACAAATCTTCTGGCATATTTGTTGAAGTTATCAAGATTAAAAAGATAACTTTTATTGAGCTTTCAAAACGGTTCTTCGAAACAAATATATATTTACAGCACTTCCAACCGAAGCACGAATACTTATTATTGACTTCAGCATTACCTTAAAGTGCATGCGTTGATAATAGTTCAATGTTAATAGTTAACACTTATTGACTGGGACATTTAGGAAAAATGTGTTTTGTTGGGTCGAAACTGCCAATGTTTCCAATGATTAACATGCAAAAGACTTAGAATTGTTTACTTCTGAAAAACGACTGTATACTTTTGTGTACGAGTCCACTCATTTGCATGCATCTATCAGAAACACAACATTGCCGACGAAATTGCTAGTGTCTTGTGTATGTAGTGGCTTATTGCTTCTTTATGCAAATATGTCTGATGTCTCTCTTTTGGTTAACGAGCGTCTGTCTATATCAGACAGTGTCGAGAATATTATAAGTGAGTCAGGACGTTTTTGCATCTGCCTGCACTTAACAACTTTTGGCTCTATCATTCGCTTGTGTTGTCTATTTGTTTTATTTGTGTGTGTTATAAATTCATTTGAGCTTTTTTGTAATCTGGAAATTTTGGCATTTATAAAGCCGCTAGATAAACCTTCTTTGGCTCTTGAGGTAGCCAGCGTGACCTGCTCTTGTCCTCATACATAGAGAAGCAATATTGATTTACCTATATATATTTAACGACTTATTATAATTCTACAAATACAGGCAGGCTTGTGGAGTTGTCGACGTCTGATATGGCGCCTAAATGTCAAAAACTATTGCACTGTGTGAGATGGACGCTTATCACGTGAACTGCTGTACAAAAAGGTATATGATTCGAATACTATAGGACTTGCAAGTCAAAATGACAGTGCCAGGGCCGGATTAATGTTTCGCGTGGCTCGTGGCATATTATCCGCGCGGAGCTCCTTGACTCCCCCCCCCCCCCTCCATTGGAGTCTCATTATGCAGATCCATGTATACGTTATATGCTTACACGATTTTTGAAGAGCGAAATCGTTAATTAGCGACGACGCGGCAATGTTACGCAGAAGATCGTTTTTAATGCTGAGAAGAGTATAAGGCTGTTTAGTCGCTTCTGTGCCATGCGTGATCGGAGCTGACTCTTTATCAGCTTCAAGCCGGTCACAGCCGAGCACGTTTTCCATGTCTATATGACAGGTTTTTATGTGACAAGACCAAAAAAAAAGTGTGGGTTTCCGGTTTCTTCTTATAAAAATTTAGGTAGGGTAGGTCGGTTTTAACTTTTTTTTTTAAACTTTTTTTTTAATTTTCCGAATAAGCGGACGCCATTTTGTTTAGTCAGTGCTTCCACATCCAAAGATAAATTTCC